TAGAAATGATCATTATTTATAAATTTTTCCTGAGGCTTTCCATATTCTTTTAAGTTGCAGGTTTAGGCCAGCAGGGGGCGTGGTGGCTGGGGCACTGGACTCCTATCTGGCTGATCATGGTTCAAGTCCTGGACCTGGCGGCTTGCTTTCTCTCTCTCTCTGTTTCTCTGTTTCTCTCTGGTGAGTATGTGTCCCGTAGCAAATTTAAAAATAATAATAGTGACAAAAAAATAAATAATTAAAAAATAAATTGCAGGTTCAATCCTTATCTATTTATTACTTTTCTGTTATAATCTTTAGAGACAGCAACAGTCACCACCGTATTAGATTTGCACTTTCAGTACTCAGATCCCACTATTTTTCTAAACACTTTCATCTTTTTTTCATAATTGGTACATTCTTCTTCATTTCACTTTTATTCTCCAATTCCCTAACGCTCCCTTAACATCTCATTATACACATTTTTATCTGAAACATTTTATGCCTTCTAAAATCATTCAGAAGATAAAATATAAGGACAGATTTTCTTGTCTTTCAGAGTATGCTTTTATAGACTGTATTTCCACCTTTCTTTTCACAGCTATGTTTTCCACACTACTCACTGCAGAGTTGCAATATTCTATTTCTTCATCCTACACATTCTTTTTGTGTGTAGTAAAAAAAGCCCATGACATTAAATTTACCATCTTAGTCATTTTTAAGTGTATAGTTCAGTAGTCTTAGAATATATTAATATTCTTGTACACCATATCTCTAACTTTATCATCTTGTACCACTGAAATTATACTCACTAAATATTATTACTCTGTTCACCATACCCCGAACCCTTGACAGCCGCCTATTTCCTTTCTGCTTCTATGATTTTGATGCTTTAGATTTTTATATGAGTAGAATCACAGAGTGTGGCTGAATTATTTTGCTCAGCATAATGGCCTGAATATTCATCCATGTTATAGCATGACAGAATTTTTTTAAGGTTGCATAAAATCCTGTTGTATGCATAGAACACATTTTCTTTATTTATTTTTAAATAATTATTTTATTTAACTTTATTTATTCGTTTGTTTTTTAAATTTGACCAGAAAGGGACAGAGTGACAGAGTGACAGAGTGAGAGTGAGCTAGAGTGAGAGAGAGAAAGTGAGAAAGCAAGCCACCAGGTCTGGGATTTGAACTGCAGTCGGCCATGTGGGAGTCCTGCACCTTTAACCACCACGTCACCTGCCAGTCCCTCTTTTTTATTTTTAATCAGCAAATAATAATGCACATTAGTTTCCTCATCCATTCATTGCTGATAAACATCTGGACTTCTACCAATTCTTGGGTATTACATATAATGCTGCAATAAATATAGATGTGTAGATACCTTTTCAAGACCCTGCTTTGAACTGTTTTGAATATATGTCCAGAAGTGAGACTTCTGAAATATATGATAATTATTGAAAAATTTTGTACGTGTATAATGGGGAGAGAGAAGGAGGAAGTACTTTTTAAAACATGCTATCATTACATTAGAAACCTCCTGCTTTAGCCACCTGAGTGGCTGAGACTACAGGTGTGTGCCATTGCACCTAGTCCTTTGGGGTGGAGCAGGGATTAAACTTGGGGCCTCTCATGAGGACTCAGCCTGC